TTGACTTTCCCCTGAACTACCAGAGTGATGTTGCGGCATGTTTTTCTGAGATGGTGATTGAGTGTTTGGTATAACATTCTGAGGAGTCATTTAAGGGTACATAGTTGTAGGTGAATTGGTGAAAGGTTGGTTGGCGTAGTAATTGAAGTATCAAGGTTGAGTATTAGCAAAATAGGCTTGAGCAAGACCTAAATTTTGAGTAGGTTGTGATGATGAATTATACTCATAACCAAAGGAAGGCCTGTGATTTTGATTACCTTGAAAAGAAGTATCAAAGCGATGGTAGCATTGGAGTGCCATATGGCCACTTTTCCCACACAATTGGCAAAACAATCGTGGTTTGTAAAAATTCCTTTCTCTTCCTCTACTTCGACCGAAATTTGGAGTATAAGTTTGAAAATTTGGGGCAAGCTGATAGGAGTTCCTCGGCTCACTCCGGTTCTGATTCTGTAAGGAAGACTGTGTAAACTGATTTTGTTGTTGCTCTGAGGTATTTGCAACTGACATGACTGGTTGAGGTTGTGAGTTAATAATTTGTTTATTTGCAATGAAGGCGGCAGCTCGCCAGCTTCAAGAAATTCTATATAGGCTGAGTGTTGTTTCTCCAACCTCATTTCATGCTTATGCAACAGGAATTGTGCTTCTTGCAGTGATACTTCATCACTTCTAGCAGTTAAAGTTGCTACCATGGCATCATACTCTGGTCCAAGTCCATCAAGCAAATATAACAGTAGTTCTTCATCAGTCACCGTCACACCACTTGTGGTTAAAGATCCACCAATCTCTTTCATTTTTAACACATATTCGTTGATACTGGAATTTTCTTTTCTTGTGGTTTGTAACTGATTTCTTAAATGCAGAATCCTAGCCTTAAAATCTATTAGAAAATGCATCTCTAGAGCGTGCTAGATTTCACATGTGGTTTCACAGTTAGCTACATGCCTAAACATTGTTTCATAGATGGAGGACATCAACCAACTGAACACAAATTGATCAATTTTTTTCCATAAGATATATTATGGATTTACCATCTTCGTTTGTTCATCAGTTTCAGAAAGGGTGAAAGGAGGAGGACAGAGTTTTTCACTAGACACAAAACCTTCTAGTTCGAATGCTTTCAAGGCTAGAAGGACTTGTGATTTCCAATAGCCATCATTTTTCTCGCCTAGTTTCACCGTGACAGTAGGTAAAGCATTGTTGAGTGCAGAGGATGAAAGTGAGTTCATTGTTTTTCCTTCTGTGTTGAAAGCTGAAAATTGAGGAGTTTTTGGATCCGCCATTGATGTCTGTCAAAAATGCTCTGATACCATATTAACCGACTCAAGAGTAGAGTAAGAGAGAGAAAATAACAAACAAGAAAACAGAGTAAGCTGAAACTTTTCTGGAATTAGAAATGAGAAACTTTTTTTTTTTTTTTTTTTCATTATACAGAAAACACAACTCTTTACACTTTATAAGAAAGTTTGTTACAATCCTTGTCAACTTTAAATCTCAATCGTTCATTAGAATAACAAACAAACACAAAACTTTCTATGTGAACCCTTCGATTTAACAGGAATTTTTTTCCTGTTACAACTCACACTTCCTGAGTTGACGAAGAGAGGCTCACGTGAAACTATTACAACTCACACTTCCTGAGTTGACAAAGAGGAGGCTTACGTGAAACATGTTTTCTATTACAGCTCATCCTTCCTGAGTTTACGAAGAAGAAAAACCTCACGTGCACTTCCTGAGTTGATGAAGAAGAAGCTCACATGAAAGAAGGCTCACATGAAACAGTTGCTGAGATGAAAAATAAGTGAAAACGACACAGAAGAATGTCATTTCTTGCTTGATTCTTTTGAGGCTTGCATGCATGTTAACAGACCAGATCCAACTGGTAGTGTGTCATTATACTAGATTCCAGCCATCTTTTGGCAATGGTGGCCGAAATCTAGCAAATATGGGTAGGTGGAGGTGTTTTTGTCCATTTCTAAATTTTTTTTTTTTTTTTTTTTTTTTTTTAGTTAAATTAACAAACCTAGGGTTTACAAGTAGTTGAATAAAATAGAATAGAATTTTCATAATAGAGAAACAAATGTATATTTTCATAATTATAGGAATAGGATAGTGTAAAAATATTAAACCAAATGGAGTCAGCGATATCATGATATGTAGAATGTTTTTAAGATTCTTCCACTAAATTAATTTCATAACAAGATTAATGGCCTACTAAATAATTCAGTCTAAGGTAAAATACTATCATTTAGAATAATTTTATACTTACAATCAAGTCATACAATCAAACAAAAATTTTAAAAAATTAATGTAAAATGACTACTCTATCTTATGTCACCATTACTCAAGGCCTTATGACTCGAGGCCAGATCAAGCCTCGCGACATCGTTAGAGGCTACATGACTTCTCCAAGATGATATACATTAGCATATTCTTGGAAACCAATTCATCTCCTCTTCAATTCTCACACCTACTATGTCGACAAGCTCTAGTTTTCAGTCTTCACATTAACCATGGAGTAACGTACTCCATGTTGCAGGGACATTAATTTATATATGTGGAAACTTGTAATACCTAGGGCTGTCAGTCGAGCCGAGCCGCTTGCAAGTCTGCTCGGCTCGACTCGTTAAATACTTGACTCAATCGAGCCGAGCCGGCTCGAATTCGACTCGAGTAAGTTACCAAGCCGAGTTCGAGTCTACCCCGACTCGACTCGATTTGACTCGCGAGCCAATAGAGGCTCGTTTAGGATTTTTCTGTGCATAAATACAAGTTTTTGGTTTTTTTTATAATTTGACATGTAAAAGATTAAAAGGTTTAAAAAATCACAAATAAACCCTTAACTAAATAACCACAATTAACCCAAAATCAAATCATGTAAATTCATTCTCATTTCTCCCCAAATCAAGAACCCTAAAACGAGAAACCCAAAAAATAATTTCCTGATTATCACACCAAGCCACCCACAAACACGAGAACTACCCAATCACCGATAACCACCGCTTCTTGTTGCAATGTTCATCACCGACGACATTGATTTTTGCGAAGAATTTGTTAGGAGTTGTGTATCTTGACGGCAACAAGTTCGTTCCTTCATTTGTAGTTGGGTTTCTTTTTTGGATTATTGTAGTTTTGTTTGGTTATTTGTAGTTGGGTTAGTGCAGAGATGTTTAGAAAATTGTTTTGATTTGGTTTAGGGAATGGACAACGACTGTAAAATTGTTTTTGGTGTGATCTGTAGCTGAATAATGAATGATGGTTATAGTTGTAGATCTTGTTCAGCTGTTGCCTTTGGCTTTCCCTTTTCATCATTTGGAGACCCCTTCAACTCTTTCTGCCTGCTTTTACATGTTTGTTTTTTTTATCTCAATACTTTACCCTTGCCTGCTTTTTAGTACCAGAAGTATAAGTTCTTTTGGCAAGTATCTCTGAATGGAAAAGGATCAGTTCAATGTCTCACTTTTTTGTTTTACTGGGTTTTGTGCATGGTGGTATGTTACTATGGTCGTATCTGTAAATACTTATGTAACAAATAGTTTCCTTTTCAATAGTGGTTTGCATGTTGTAGTTCCAGTGTCTAGGTGCAGGAAGATTCAGTAGAGAACCTCTTCAATAGCAGTACAACTTTGTTGCTTGTTTTTGTACATACAGTGGCTTCTTCAGTAAATTATGGTCTGCCTTTGTTTTCCAACATGTTGTGGTTTTTACCTTGTTGATGACACACACTTGTAAGAGTTCACGCATTTCACATTTGTGCGAGTAAAACTAGAGGAGATTCTTGACATGTGGGTTATGCACATAGAGAAACATTTCTTTTAGTCTTATGTTTATTTTCGAGGTGGACTCTTACCTTCCTGCAAATAAGTGAAAATTAGATTGGAAGAGATTTAGGTAGCCATCTTTCTGTGAGAAATAATTACTCTTAAAATTTTCTCTAGTAAGAAATTATTTCTTCTCTTTCCTACAGCAACAAAGTTGTGGCAAAATCTCTTTAAAGCTACTTTTAATTTAATCATAACATGTGAGACATATTGGTTGGATTATTAATTAACTAAATTGAAGCATGCTGATGGCTGAGAACCGCAATAAATAACAGGTTCATCCACTGTGAATTATAAATGTGCACATTTATGTTTTCTGAATAAATATTATATGACATATGTTTTGTTGTTTCTTGTTGAATGTAACACCGTTTTTGTGGTTCAATAATGCATTTGAGTTTATTCTTGTTGGAAATTTATGGTTTTTTGCATGAGCCTTGTGCATTTATCATCCTGCATTCCTGCTGTGTCTACGGTTAGCTGCCCCTGTTTGTGTTGGCTAGGCTGATTTGTTGTTGCCCCTGTTTTTGCTGTTGATTTTTTCTAATTTGTTGCTGCTCCTGTTTTTGCTGCCATTTAGTTGCTTGTGCTAATGCTTTTTATTCAGTCACCCTTGCTTGTTTTTGTGGTTAATAAATTGTGTTAGGCAGGACCATTTACAAGTTTTATTTGTTTTTTACAGGTATGGCATCCAGCAGCACACAACCAAATGTTACTTGCTCGCCGAATGAGGATGCAAATGTTAATCTCTTTCAAAGGAGAAAGAGAACCAAGACATCTACAAAATGGGTTGAATACAAAGAAGTGGTCCTTCCTAACGGTGAGAAGAAAGGAGAGTGTATCCATTGTAAATACAAGCTTCAAATTCATGCATCCGGAAGCACTACACATTTTGGAAGACATTTACAAAGGTGTGTGAATCGAGCCACTTCACGTAGACAACAACATATTAATTTTTCCCCTGCTGATTCTAGTGGGGGAACATCTGTCCTTCCTCCTCTTACCGGTAAGTTCGACATGATGGTGATGAGGGAATTGATTGCACAATGGGTGCTTATGCATGAGCACCCATTTACCATTGTGGAAGAGGAGGGTTCGAACAATATGTTGAAATATGGGATTCCATGATGGTCAAGGGTTTCACGCAATACATGTAAAAATGATTGTGCAAAGGTGTATGAAATGGAGAAACAGAAGTTGAAGACATTGCTAAAAGGTGTAAGGAGGATTAGTTTGACCACAGATTTATGGAATTCTGACAACCAAAAGTTAGAGTATATTGTTTTGACAGGGCATTGGATAGATGATAATTGGAAGTTGAACAAACGGGTTCTTAACTTTGTTCATTTACCTATTCCAAAAGGTGGTGTGCAGATTGCTGATGCAATTTACAAATGTTTGGCAGAATGGGAGATTGAAGACAAGGTCCAAACGATATCAGTGGACAATGCTACTAGTAATGATGTGGCAATTAGGGTGTTGAAGCAAAATTTTACAATAACAAGGCAGTTGAGTTGTGGGGGTAAAATGTTTCATGTCAGATGTTGTGCACACATCTTAAACTTGATGGTGCAAGATGGTCTTTCACAGATTAGGAGAATCATCAACAAGATCCGTGACAATGTGGTATACATTAATGGTTCAGAGGGTAGGCTGAAGGTTTTTGCAGAGATTGTGCAACAATTGCGTTTGCCATGTCGAAAACTTATCATTGATTGTAAAACAAGGTGGAATTCAACTTATGACATGTTGGAAATTGCAATTAAGTTTAAAGAAGTGTTTCCAAGATACAAAGAAAGGGATGAGGGTTACGAACATTGTCCAAATAAAGAAGATTGGGTGAAAGTAGAGAAAGTCTATGAGATTCTAAGGGTTTTTAATACAATGACCAATATCATCTCAGGGAGTAATTATCCAACATCAAATGTATTTCTAAGGCAAGTATGTAGGATCAAAATGTTGTTGAATAAAAAAAAGTGAAAGTGAAGATGAATTTATTAGACAGATGGTGAGAAAAATGAAAGAGAAGTGTGATTAGTACTGGGGGCAATGTAATTTGTTGATGGCTGTTGCAGCTATATTGGACCCTAGGTACAAAATGAGGGTGATTGAGTTTTCTTTCCCTAAGATGTATTCTGATGTTGAGGCACGGGCAAATGCTACAACTGTTCGGGATACTTTGTATGAGGTATATGGGGAATATGCTAATGATTGTCAGTCATCTAGTGTAGTCCTCAGAGGTAAAATTGAAAGGGTTGGACTTGAAGTCATTCCCGAGGGGTCCATGGGAGGAGCTGATGATTGGGAATTTGATGATTTTCTGGATGAGGTTGAAACTATTGAGCAAATAAGTCTTAGTTGGATATTTACCTGAGCGAGGCATGTTATAAGTGTCAGGGTGATTCGAAAAATTTTGATGCTTTGGATTGGTGGAAGGCGAATGCTTTGAAGTACCCTATCTTGTCTAGGATGGCTCGTGATATACTAGCTATTCCCATCACTACAGTGGCTTCAAAGGCTACTTTCTGCGCCGGTAGTAGAGTTATTGACACATATCGATCTTCGTTGTCTCCCGAAACAGTGGAAATGTTGTTATGTGGAGCGATTGGTGTCGCATTTTAAATGGAGTGAAAAAAGGAATCACGGTGCATTTTTAATAATATATTTATTATTTTATTCTACAATTACTCTTATTTCATTCGAACATTGATATTAACTTCTTCTTTTTTTGTTTTAAATTTCAGATACAGAAGGAACCAGTGGAGATTCAACTTCCGGAAGTTTGAGTTCTATATTATTTTGATGATAATTTTGATGGACATTTGTGGTTTTTTTTTTTTTTTTTTTTTTTTTTTTTTNAATTAAATTAAATCCGAACACAACTCAATTACAATCGATGCGAAGTAATGAAAAGCAATATTCATCATTTAATTATTCCAAACCAACGTTTATCATTCAGCAAGTTCTATGAAAACATTAAATCATAATGGACAACAATATTCATCACAAGTTATGCTTAAATCATATTAAAGTATCGAAATCAATCATGAAACGAAAACAAATATAATCCGAAGCACAATACTACCAAATGTCCTATAATTGGGCTCATCCAACTAGTCAAGAGCTGATGAGGAGAGTCGTGGAGTCAATCCCGATCTCGCCTGTGCCGTAACAGACAACCGGGAGCTTAGCCACTCATGGTGGTGATGACGGAGGCCGAAACGGTGGAAACGAAGTTGACCATGGCGGAGAGGAGGTAACCGACAGTGATATGATGTGAAGAAGGGGTGAAAACAACCAACGGACAGCCCGAAATACTAATAGCCGCACTTCGCCGGAAAACGTTAATTTTCCGGCGGGTCTTCCGGAAAACGGTGGCGGAAATGGGATTCGAAGGTACCGATGGAAAGCTCTGGTGATGGGGAGTTCAGATCAGGTTCTGGGGAGGTGAGAAGTTGCCAGAAATGAGCAGGATCTGGCCTGGAAGATGAAGAGGCGCGGCGGCAAAATCGCAGATTCCGACGGTTTTCGCGGTGGCTGAAGCTAGGGAAGTGTAGATCCAGCCGTGGGGAAGGGAGATCGACCCTTGGGGAGCTGAGACGTCACCGAAAAAGGGCGAAAACTGGCCGGGAAGATGAGCAGTCGCGGTGGTGGAAGATGAAACGCCGCGGCTGCTTTCGTGATTTGCGGTGGTGGTCTGGGACGATGGGATGACGACGATCTGTGCACGAGGAAGCCGAAGAGTCACCGGAGGTCGCCGGAAATGGAAGACGAAGGGTCGCCGGAAAAGATGATGAACAGCCCCTGGAAAACGCGAACTGCATTTTTCTTTTATAGAATAAATTGTAAAATATCAGTTTGGTCCCTACACAATTGAAAAGTAACNAATCCCCTTAGAACTTTCCAGCTCTGATACCACTGTTATAACCAAAGCCTGATAAGCAAATTCGCAACACAAATAACCACACACAAGATTAAAGATCAAAGAATCACACACACAACACAAGGCACGATTTTACCGTGGTTCGTCTATCCAATCTTGGATAGACTACGTCCACGTTGAACTCCGAAATACGGACGCTCACAGCACTAAGAAGACATTCAATGATTACAAGAAGGACAAGAATACAAATCTGCCAAAACAGACTAACACCCAACCAAGGCCTAATCACTCAAGAATCTCTCAATAATCTGTAAGAAATCAGAGGACAAATACCAGCCTCTAGAAGGAAACGCAACCCTCTCTCACAATCAACCCAGATTACACCCAGAAAGATTAAGCAAAAACCAACCCTAGTTTTTCCCTCTTTTGCAAACCCTAATAGCCGATAAAGAAACAAAAATGCATTTTTTTTTTATCACTGTTGCTCTTCTTTATATATGTCTGCGTTCTAATCCTCAGCCCTTGGATCTGTCTTGATCTGACGGCTAAGTTTCGGTAATGGCCTTAAATGAAACGACCCCGTTTTGGCTTCCAATGGACTTAAGTGAAACTGCCCCGTTTTTGGCTTCACATTATTTTCAGTCCTCAATGTTATTTTCTTTCAAGTTAGTAAATTATAGTAATCCCAACTGAACTAGCCAGTAATTATGAATCCTAATTAATAATTGTGAGGCTATTAATGATAACTTTTGTGTGGGGCAGTTTCAGAGGGGGCAATAAAGCAAATGCTGATGCTGGAGCTGGAGAGAAAGTGAAAGAAGCAGCTAAGAAGAGTACAAGTAAAAGCAAAATGGCAGTGGAAGAATCTGCAAAATCTGCTGCAGAAGCAGTGCACAAGACTGCTGAGAAGGTGAAAGTGAAGCTTCATGATGAGATGTAATTTATATGGGCCACTCCTGATGGCCTGTTTTGAATAAACCACTGGTATTTTTGGCTAAATGGTTGAAGTTTAGGTCAATCAATTAATCAAAACCTTAAACTGTTTATTCAAAAAAAAAAATTTATATTATTCTATTTTGGCTAACTAAATTTTCAAGAATTTTTGGCTAACAATCAATTTCTTCTTTTATGCTAATTAAGAATTCACTAATTAATTAAACTTTGAATTATTAACATATAATCATGTGATTAGTTGATCATCTTATTTTATTGGAGCTGTTTCTACATTTTTTTTATATTATACTTTTGTCATTTCTCTACTGTAAAAATCCACTGATAAAAGCAAAACTTTTGTTTCTGTCTTTACTTCTGTTCTTTTCCATTAACACCATATTCATTTACCTTAATCGTTGGAAATATCAGAAATGATAAAATGATTAACTAACTTTCAACTGCATAAACTTTTCTTCAATCTTTACAGTATGACAAAACTAGTTTGCAGATTTCTTAATTTTGTGTCTTAAATTCATCATCTCTCAAGTAGAGCATTAGGTGTAACTAAATTTTCAAGAATTTTTGGCTAACAATCAATTTCTTGCAATCTTCAAAAACAAAATAGAATAATATAAAACATATCTACTTGATAATAAAGTTAATTACCAGAATCAACTCATTAATATAAATTAGAGTTAAGTACATTGTCACCTTGAGGTTTGGTACAAAAAGTTTTCCCTCTTCAATTCTTCGAAACTAACACCAACACCCTCAAATAGTTGTTTTGTCAATTAAACATAACAGTGCAAAAGGTTTAAAAAAAAAAAAAAAAAATTGAATAAACAGTTTAAGGTTTTGATTAATTGATTGACCTAAACTTCAACCATTTAGCCAAAAATACCAGTGGTTTATTCAAAACAGGCCATCAGGAGTGGCCCATATAAATTACATCTCATCATGAAGCTTCACTTTCACCTTCTCAGCAGTCTTGTGCACTGCTTCTGCAGCAGATTTTGCAGATCTTCCATTGCCATTTTGCTTTTACTTGTACTCTTCTTAGCTGCTTCTTTCACTTTCTCTCCAGCTCCAGCATCAGCATTTGCTTTATTGCCCCCTCTGAAACTGCCCCACACAAAAGTTATCATTAATAGCCTCACAATTATTAATTAGGATTCATAATTACTGGCTAGTTCAGTTGGTTGAATTCTTGAAATAGAACTGGGATAGGCATTGGAGTTGAAGCAGGAGCTGGCCATGGACTCCCTTGCTCTTTTCTTGCTACACAGACCCAGAGAGAAATTGAAAATTTTAAATTGTTGATTTTTTGTCTTCCAGTGAATTTATCAGTCCTTTTTCACTTAAAGTTAACAGGCGAATTTTGATGATGGGTGGGAAATTTATATTTTATATAATGAAAAAGTCAATTATTTGAGTGTAAAAAATAGATAATTGAACTTAAAACTAACTTAAATAACTCTAGACTATGATTGTAAAAACAAAAAAATATATAAGAAATTATGAAAAATTGAATATCACTAGTCAAGAATTTGGTACTCGAACATTTCGTTCGGCGAGTATGATAATTTTGGTATTTTACTGCTTCCATAATAATGTTACAAAGTTAAGTAGAATCTTAAAATGGGTGCAGAGGTTAAGTATTGTACATAATGACAGTCAACAGTGACTATGGGAGTGTTGAGATAGTGATTGAATAATTAAGATGTTAATGACAACGAATTTCTTTTGAGATATAAATTCACATAAGAGATAAGAACCCAAAACAAAAAGCTTATGCGCCCAATAATTTAGAGGATTAATGACAATTATGACATATAACACTTCCCTTGAAGATATAAATTCAGATTGGAGAGATCCCCAAAGCTTAACATTAATAATTGCAGAGGGGTTATAGTCAAAATAGGTTTCCTCCTTTTGATTTACAAGTCACCAAAAGAGGGAGTTAAAGTCCTCAATGTTATTTTCTTTCAAGTTAGTAAATTATAGTAATCCCACTAGCTTAATGGCAATAGGTCCAGTTTAACACGTGATAATGATAATTTATACAAATCAACATTGTTTAAACTAAGAAAATCATAAATAGTGCAGTCATTAAGCTAGTGGGATTAGTACTATAATTCATTATGAAACAAAGAGAAAACGAAACAGAGATGAAACAAAGGAAAGAAAGGAAACGCGAAACAGCAGAGAGAAATTTCCTCTGATATGTGGTTTATTCAATGATGCCAATGATACAGATATATACAAAAAAATATCCTAACAAACTTATCCCATACAATGACAATACTATTCTTTACAGAGACAACAAAAAAACAAATAAAACAGAGAAATATAATTCAGTTAACCATGCCAGCCTTTTCTTCGTTGACTCCTCTAATACATTAAGCTACTGAGATTACTTGGTGGAGGGCATGGAGCTGGTGGTGGAGGTAGAGCTGGGATAGGCATTGGACTTGAAGCAGGAGCTGGCCATGGACTCCCTTGCTCTTTTCTTGCTACACAGACCCAGAGAGAAATCGAAAATTTTAAATTGTTGATTTTTCGTCTTCCAGTGAATTTATCAGTCCTTTTTCACTTAAAGTTAACAGGCGAATTTTGATGATGGGTGGGAAATTTATATTTTATACAATGAAAAAGTCAATTATTTGAGTGTAAAAAATAGATAATTGAACTTAAAACTAACTTAAATAGCTCTAGACTATGATTGTAAAAATAAAAAAATATAAGAAATTATGAAAAATTGAATATCACTAGTCAAGAATTTGGTACTTGAACATTTCGTTCCGCG